AGAGAGAGAGAGGGCGTGAAGAGGAGAGAGAAAAGGAGAGAGAGAGAGAGGGCTAAAAAAATGTAGAAAATGTGAGGGGGTTCCCCTCCGTATATAGGCCCCATGGGCCCTAGGGTGTTTTAATCAAATCAGGACACACAATATCTAAAAAATATTTAGGTAATCTATGAGGTGAGAGAGAAATAATCTGAGCCATTCATCTCTAAAATCTGCTATCATGATTTAGGGATAATTTTAGGAACTTTATTTCTTGAATCTTTTGACCCATATCCACTTCTAGACTTTTAATTTGATTTGAATTCTAATTAAAGTAGAAGCCTTAATCGAAGTAGGAATCCTAATCCAAATAGGACTCCTAATTCATTTAGGCTCTATTAAACAAACTTTGTTAAAAGTTTTAGTTGAACTAGGAGTCCTAAGTTTAGTAGGACTCCTAATTCAATTTGGACTCTGTAAATAATATTTTATTAATATTTTAAATTTAATTGGGGCACTTTGTGTGTGCAAGACATGTGGCCCTTGTGCGCCCCACTTGCCACCCTATGTGGCCTACCCATGTGTGGGAGCTGGGCTTGTAGCCCCTCCCCACATGGATCCACCTAAAAATCAGGCCCCTATTGAATGGTAAAATATCAATTTTGCCCTTTGTGCTTTTTCACATAAAAAAAAAAATTATATAATCATAATTAAAGATAAAAAATAATAAATATTTATAAGGTTCTTAAAATACAGAGATATATCTCTAGAAGTGGATTGATACCAATGGGTCAAACATAAGTGACTATCAAGGTACTCCACCCGTGCCAGGATCCACGATCCACAACTTTCTTCTCAAACCAACCCATCAGGACTCATGATTCACAGTCGTGTGTAAGGGCTCATGATTGGTCTGTCAAACTTAGTCAATATAACAGTAGAATCATAGTCCTAATATGTTGATTATAGGTTCTTCCCTTGAGAGCAAGTCAGATGTACATATCACTATAGTGCAAGGGGGACTCTCTCCATGTACATGTACATGTATCCCTCTATAGGGTTGCTTCCCAAAAATGCGGCTATCATATGTACATATCATGTGGAAGTTTTGTTGAGGACTTGCTCCTTGCTCTCACAGGCCTACAACCACACACAGGAGACCACAAAGCTTTCTTGGCCTACAAACCATCCTTGGGCATCTCTGTGACTTCAACAAGAGATTACCCACTATCAACCCTCAAGATTAGTACATGTACCCAACAGAAAGGGTTTTTCGACATGGCCCGAGCCATAGACAGCCTAAACCTGGGTCAGTTACACAATTTTACTCTCCCATTGAAGTGTACAATTCACTATATTTATTTTATTTACATGCTCTCTGGGCTTTAAAGGCCACAAACCCCAACATCACAGGGGCAAAATCCTTTTCACAAATGACCCTACTCTATTGAGGGTTTGAGTTTCTCAGAACCACTAATAAGTTCTTACTGACATTAATTTTGTATATATGATGGCCATTTGAACTTTTGAGGTAATATAGGGAGAGAAGTAATTTCTTCATTTTTATTTTTCCCATATACGGTAATAGTGATATCACTATGCATTTCATTCATTTAAAACAGGATTTGGTGGCCATTTAAATGCCACTTTAGTTGTTTTCACATGTTGTGGTGGTAGTTAAAATTTTGAAATAAATATCCCATTATCTGATAAGTGATAAAAGAGCATGGTAGCACGGCCAAATGATCTCTTGTCAGAGCCCTGTTTATGTAGACTTGGAACCAAATCCTGTTAATTACTCTACTATGAAATCTATGGAGAGCCAAGAAATATATAGCACCCTCTGTTGTGTGCCTATCACAGAGCATGGGCATGCTACTTGATAGGCAACAGTAACATGAGATTAAGATTTAAATGAGATGTAGACGAGAAGAATAGTCTTTGGCTCACTGAACTTCAAAGTTCAAATATATAATATATTCAATGGCGTTGTGAACAACTATGAGATGTAGTATTCAAGGACTGGATGCAAAATAGCTTACAACAGTAGGCGTAAGCTATTTTCTGGTGTGTCATGGTTGAGTAACGAGTGAAATTCTTAAGCAACTCCTCTCTATTTATGAAATTCTTAAGCAAATTCTCTCCATTCGTAAGCAACTTTTTGTCGTTTTTGAAACTTTAGGACAATTGTTTTTGCAAATCTCCATAATATTTCATCTTCTATTGAGTTTTAGGTTACAATTCTGATTGAATGCAAACTCCACCCTCTTCAGTAATAAGGATGTTGTCTGGATATATTGTTTATCAATATTGGAAAGGTGATGTAGCTCAGAATGATCATGACCATTTTGAACCAAATGTACGTGTGTATAGGGAAAAATTATTGTCACTAAATTGTAAAAATTTGTACTATACTTGTAAACATTCTTTTAGATTATGTAGTGTTTTCTTTAGCTGACAATAAGGAGGTACTATCACGAGATTTACTCAAGTTTATGATGTATATACTATCTTCAATTCTCCATGGAGTTGTTGGCAGTTGAATGGAAGATGGTTCCGTGCATTTTAGTTTACCAGCCAAAGTCAGTGATTGCGTGGAATCCTCCTGTAGGTACTATCAATCATAATTTTGTTGGGTGTGGCTAGATTCTTTAGAAGCAGCCTGGGGGTTTGTCACTCAACGTTTTTACTTGTATTTGGGGCAGCTCGCCAACTATTTTTCCATAATTTCCGTTTGCATAGGTCAATGCATATGCACAAGCAAACATGAAAATACTTTGGTTTGTAAAAGTATGGGTGCATGAATATGTGTGGAGCCAAGTCTTCTGAACTGAATTCCTGGCCTTTGTTGCCCTTGCTTCACATCCAGAAAGCATCAGTCTTGTTTTTGGGGCTGATACAGGTGACTGCCTTAGCTATTAACTCAGGCAAGTGCTAATAGGCATAAGATATGTTTCTTGTTCTTATTGAAATACCTAATCTCTGGTTTAGATGCATCATTGCACTTGGAGATATTATGTAATATACATGTTTTTGTAGTTTCGCTGCCGCTTGTTTATGGGAGGCTCTTATGGCAAAAATCTTGCAGAAATATGCAATGCAGCAAGCTTTTAAGACAATGATGGGGCAAATGTCATCTAATAATAGTCAATTTAGTGGTGCTGGTTTCCCTCCAGGACCACCTTTTCCATTTCCTCCAACCAGTCCATCAGGTACCCCTGCTGCACCACCCACTCCTTTTGCCTCAAAATCTGCGGTAACAGTTGATGTCACTGCAAGTGATGTGGCACCAGCATCATCGACGGTTGAAGTCAAGGAAGATACTAAAACTAAGAAGCAAACCAAGACATTTGGTATGTATTCGTTCGCTTAAACAGTTTGCACTTGTCCTTTCAGTTATTGCTGTTCATATAGTGGGTTTCATGTGGAATTTGTTGAGCTTGCTCTACTTGGTGTTAAAAGATACATTCAAGAATTACGATTGAAACTTATGTCGGTAACAGTGTTTTAAAAAGGGCTAGGCAGCACCTAGGCGGTTCGGGGGGTCCAGGGCACCCAGCTCCTAAGCGGGTGCCTAGAACTTGGGCGGCCCAGTAGAAATTTTTTTTTTTTAAGGTTTTTCTCTCTCTAAAATAGGCTCTAATGGGTTTTAGGTTTCAAATGAACCTAAAACCCACAATTTTGCACCTTAAGTATTAAAAAAATGACCCAAAAATACCTCCACGAGGGGCATTTCCGCCCCGCTGCCGCCTAGACAGGTTCAGGCGCCTAGGGATATCCACTTTAGAACCGCCTAGGCGGCTGCCCAGGAGCTGGGTGGTCTGTTTTTTGAAACACTGGTCGGTAATTAAAGTACCTGGGGAATTATGAGCGCAATCTTATTTAAAATGTGTTAGAGCGCAATCTTATTTAAAATGAGTTGTGACTATGTGGAGCTCGTCATTGTTTCTCTTTTGATGAAAGGAGCTGGTTACTTATTGCTTAGTTTTTTTCTTTGCTTTATTTATTTATTTACTTTGTGCACAGAATTTGTGGATATTTCTCCAGAAGAGGTGATGCAAAACCGTCCTTCTGAACAGCCAAAGGAGTCAACCGATGGAAGTCCTGCAAAGGATGTCCATTTTGCAGAAGTGAGTCGATGTTAACTCTATTATAGGGCTCTGCAATGTATCAATTGATGTTCCTTGCTAAACCTGTTTAATTTTTTCATTCTTGTAATGAGCAAAACCTGTTTAATTTTGTTACGAAGGTTTCTCAAAATGGAGCTCTCCCTCAAACTGAGAAAAGTGTCAGTACTGAGAATGTTCAATCATCTCGTAAGTAACTTGTTTGCATTGGCAGATTATGTATGCTTATGTTTTGTTTCGTGGTAATGGTTCTCTGATTATAAGTATAGTTTCCTCTTTCCATGACTTGGCCAATTTAGTTAGAACTGACCTGGGTCCTATTTGATCTGGTCCTTTACCAAGTGGAGTCATAGTCATACATTTGGATTGCTATGCCGATCATGAAAGCTATGTGCTATGGATGAACTATCTGTGACTTAGATGAGTGAGTTCTGTCCTCCAGCTTTTGGATGATTAGAAGGGATTTTGATTTGGTTTACCTATGAGTGACTTAGTTGAGTAGTTGAGTCCCTCGGTTTTTGCAGTATTAGAAGAGATAGACTTTCATATATTGACATTTCTGATGGTTTATTATCTGCTGCTAATTTTGGAAGTTTGTAGTAGATATGAGAAGATAGTTGTAACGCATCTATGGACTTTGCGGTAATGTTGGTTGGACTTAAATCCATGAACTACAGCATTCAGCTACATTAATTACATTACTCGTTTCTCAGTTTGTTTTGTTATGGCAACTCAGAAATGTCAGTAGTCATGATTGCCATTCAAGCATTTACTTTTTGGCTTACTTACTGTTCTTTGATAGGTAGGGGCTTTTGTAAATGTGGTTTCAATACTAAAAATCTTTGTGATAGCTTTACAATATAATTTCATCTTTAACCATAAAATTTGAAGCTTCAAAAATAGTTTAGATTGAGCAGATCTATTGAAACTTGAAAATCTTGAAAATTTCTGGTTCAAAAATGAGTTACAAAATGCACTATTTCTAAAACTGGAAATTCATTTTTTTCTTAAGTCCATGCATCTTGATGTTGAGATGATCAATTTGAGGATATTTGGGCATCAAAACAACCTCTTCTAGTTAAATTTTTGAGGTGGGCTTTAATTTGATTGTTTAAAGCCTCGGCTCTATATAAACTTTTTCCTTTATTAATTTCAAATACCTCTTTTTCTTTCTGTCCTGAGCCATAACTTTATCAAAGGAAGAAATGTTTGTTCGTGGAGATCAAAACCTAAACACTCCAATGCAAAGACTGGAACAAAACTACATATTCCATTGATAACTCTCCCGAAACGGATGTAAGCAAGTTTAATGGCTTTTTGCCTGCCTTTTGTGTAATTGCAATTCCTGCACTAATAGACCTGGCTGGTTTTCCACTTCTCACTTTGATTTTGTTTAGAGAGTTATTTATAAAAATCGTGCTCATGGATTGTGATTGGTGCTGCCTTAGATAATCTCATAGGGTCAGGGAGAATGTTTTAAATGACTCTTCAGAGTGTTACATCAATGCTGCATTTCACTTCCTGTTTCAGTTTGTGACACATATTGAGCAGTTCGACTCTAAGAAGGCTTCAAAATATTAGTTGATTTTGAATATATTTCCTATAATTTTATATATTGGAATATGTGAAACACCTTTCACACTTGTCAAATGTTGACACATGTTAATGTTTCATATAAAACCGGCGCTTTTTATCCTGGAGTGTGTGCACTTGGTCCATGAGTTCATTTGTGAGTCAGTGCTCCAACGATGCTTTGCAGACAAGACATGGAGACGGCACACGAGACGATGTAATCAACTTTTCTTTAGGCATCGTGAACCAGTTTGTGATCAGTTTTAAATGAGTTCATCTGATACGCGGGCGCAGACAATGCCTGGTTCTCGCTAATTGTTTTCTGTTCTTTTCACTTGCTACTTATTTGTAATGTGCCAACTGGTTGTGTCAGCCACACATCGGGCTAGTCGGTGTGGCTTGCTATCCCTTTTGTTTAGCATGTCTCAGGAAGAATAGAATACACAAATAAAAAGAATGGTGGAAAGAAAGGCAATGCAGCACACGTCTGTCATTCTCTCTACCCTAGTAAACATGTCTGTTAGTCTGCACTCTGTGCATCTAGATGTACATTATTTTTTGTCTGTAAATCTTAATACTCAAATCAAAATAAAAATAAAAAAGAAGAAGAAATGCAGCCATATGTTGTACCAAAGTTCATCTAGATGTACATTATTTTTATCTGTAAATCTTAATACTCAAACCAAAAAACAAATGCAGCCATATGCTGTGCCCTAAAGATGTTTACTTATTTCCTTTTACTTTTTGATCATATATTGTCTACACAAAAGGTGACGAGACGAGCCTGTTCAATCTCAAGGTTTCTTTAACAAGGTATGCTCAAGTTTTTGGGCGGCTAGTCAGTGGGTGGAAACATGCCTTGTTCAGCTGGAGTTTTCCTAAGATGGCTTTAAATAGGATATTCATGGATGACACCCATCTAGACCTCTTTCCTGTGAGTATATAGGGATCCCTTTATTGCTTGCCATCTCAATGCTAGAACGGTGCCATATTCACCTGAAATGATCAAGCCCCAGTTCAGTGAAAGTAGAAGTGAACTCTTTTGAGTTTGTGGTTGTTGGTTTTGACCTTGATAATTCATACAGTGAGTATACCTCCAGTATTTATATTAGCAGTGAATTCTGGTTTACCGCTATTACAGAAATGGAGGGACCATGAGGTTTGTCTGGGTAGGATGAGCAGGAAAAGGTCGACTAGGTCAACAATGAAGAGAAAATGAGAAGAAAAAAAATAGGGCCTACTAGGTATCATGGAACACAATGTGCTTTTCAAAAAGTGGAAGGCGGCTTAGGTTGTTGCGTATGAGATGAGCTTGTTAAAATGGCCTGGAACTATGTTAATGGAGTCTGGACAGTCCACTTGGGGCAAGATCTTCACACAACATTCATAGGAGGCGCAAGGCTTAGGTGTCCATTGTCCTTAGGGTGGGCAGCCCTAAAGATGGGCAGCATTCATGCAGTACTTCCTATAGCACTGTTTGGTGATGGATGTTCCTCAGTTCATTCTTGAATAATCTCTCAATAATTCGTGTGTTTCCTTTTTTCTGTGGAGCTGTGGTCCCTTTTTTTTTTTTGATAGGTTTATACTTACTTATGAGTTCCTGTTTGTTATGAATGTCGTTATGGTTTATTTTGGTTAAATTTCTCTCATCTGCTCGTAGAATCACACAAATATGTATGAATTTTGGCATAATTTCTATCCTATAACTTGTGGATGGTCTCTGATTCTCTTCAGACCCCTGTATACTAGTATTTCTTCATATATTGGTGTAACTTAAGTTTACATTCATTGCTTCTTGTTTATCAGGACCTGCTGATTCTGTCTTATCAGTGGAGGCCTTGGAGAAAATGATGGAAGACCCTACAGTCCAGAAGATGGTTTATCCGTAAGGAAAAACAAACTTCTTCTGTATTTCTCCCCTTGTGTTATTCAAATTTCTCTATTAAGATTTGCATTTCGTCCTTGCAAGCATTGATCTAAATCTCATCCTTACCCATCATGGAGCTAATTGTTTGAATCATTTTTGATGGCTAAGCTCCCTTTGTTGATGACACAGACCTCATCCACCCCTAATATGGTTTGCTTTTCTCAATCATATTGCGTTGTTCTCCAGTTCTCTCTAGCATCCTGAAAGCTTTCAGGAAACCGCTTATCCCAACTCATCACTACCTTCCGGGAAACCCCTCAAAATTTTAGTTTTTCCCTCTAGCATTAACTTAATTTCTTATCTTACCATCCATTATTTTCCATCCCATATTTCTGATCATCTCCTAGTTAAGCGCTAATCAGACCGCTTTAAGAAACTTTTGAAGATCCCTTTTGCAAAATTGTCCATATATATAACCTTCATTTTATTGTCTTTGTCTTAACTTATTTGAACCACTAGGTTTGGGTACTCAACTGAACTATCAGAAAAATGCAAAAGAAATCAAATACTGAGTACTGTCCTGTCTTTGCTGTGCGAATAGATGCTATTTTATGTGCAATAACCGTATCCACGTTATGCTGCGTCTTATAATAATTGGTGTTGCATCGAAATAAAAACTCCAAGTGGATTCTTTAAACAGATCTGTGATTGCATGTGTAATAGTTTGTTTATCAAAGTGATTGCATGTGTAATAGTTTATTTAGTTTGATAATTGGTATTTTATTGTTTTACAGCTATTTACCAGAGGAGATGAGGAACCCTGCAACATTTAAATGTAAGCCATTTGCATCTATACATGCTTCTATACCTCCATGGCACATATTATGCTTCTATACCTGATACTGCATACATATTTGTTCTATACTCTTACAACCTGGAAATAATGTGTTGGATCCTTTTCATACAGCAACTTTTGACTTGTTTCATTAATTCTTCAGGGATGTTGCAGAATCCACAATATCGACAACAATTGGAAGATATGTTGTATGTCTAGTTTCGCCTTTCTGCTTGTCTACCTCACTGTTATTGTCTATGTACAGATGATGCTGTTGATTGCAAAATATTTTGTGACAAATTATGCCCTGAGATGAATATGAATCATCTGTGTCTTGATTTATTAATTGTTGTCATAGATCAGCTATTTTCTACTCTAGGACTTCTCCGTTATTATTGTAGACGTAAGTGTAATAGAAAAGTAATTTGAATTTGAACTTGATAAAGATCCTGTTATGTGCAGATACTAATTTCTTTACAGTAAGAAAAAGTTGTATTCAGATAGTAGGTATGCAGAGCCGGATTGGACCGGCAGCAATACCAGGATCTAAGAAGCATATGTTTGTGACGCTGTGTGCAAGTCTAAATGGCATGCATATGACTACAAAACTACCTTTCTCAATAAAAATCTAAAACACAGGCTAAGGCAAGCAACAGAAAAATGGAAATAAAATGCTTGCAATGGTAGAAGAAAAGAACTTTCCTTGTTAGGGTTATAACTGAACCGTATGCACTGGGTGCATTGGACAGAAAATATGGTTCTTGGACATTACACTGTTTGAACTTAGTTGCAGGTGGCAAAAAATAGAAAAGAAAGGCAAATAATTTTATAAGTTAGGGGAACAACAAATGTCGGGATTTCGTAAAATCATGTTCATTCTAAACATAATGCATGCATTAGTCAAAAATTCAATCTATGGTCTTTATTTGTTTTGCTATGCATTATAAAGTTGCCCTCTGCTATTTTGTTGGAAATATGTTGTAAAACAGAGATCATGTTTCTAAAACGGTATTAGGGCCTAGAATTTGTTTTTTGATTGGTTTGAATATGGAATGGTGCATATTTCATAAGTTCTCACCATATTGTATATAATTTGTATAAGATTGCAGATCATCATCATCATCATCATTATTTTAGCCTTTTTCCAATTAACTGGGGTCGGCTGCATGAATCCTGGTTTTTCATTCTGCTCTATTAAAGGCTATATCCTTAGTGAGGCCATAAGTCCTTATATCTTTTCGGACTACTTCCAACCACGTCTTTTTGGGCCTACCTCTTGCCCTTTTCAGTCCTTCCACTCGAACAATTCGCGCCTCCTAACAGGTGTTGTACTTGGTCGGCGCCCGCCACACATGGTCAGCCCACGTAAGTCTACTCTATCATTTTATCGCCTATTGGTGCAACGCCAAGATTTTCTCGAATAGATTCATTACGAATTCTATCCCTTCTTGTCTTGCCGCTCATCCATCTCAATATCCTCATCTCCACTACACTCATTCTATGGGTATATTATTTTTGTTCCCCTAACATTCTGCCCCATGGAGCACAACTGGTTGTTTTTTATATAAGATTGCAGATGGAACTAAAGATTGCTTGGTGCTTATCGTGTGAACTTATTTTTATTGTAAGCCTATGTTTCAATGTATGCCTTTTTCTATTTTTCTTTTGCCATTTCAGACACCCCAAAAGCCTTGAATGCTGGTTGGATGTTGACACCTATCTCTGTGTTCATGCATGACAAGGGGTAATCACCAACAATGTCAGTCGCTTCTATAAGTAGTATAGTCTTCCTCCACTCTCAAGATGTCTTGACTCTTGGGAGCCTTGCTGGATCTTATTTATTAGGCTTATAAGCTGGAGCATCTAGTTCGCCGTTAGCATGTTCAAGGCAGTTGGAGCCAAAGTATGCCAAATTATCCTTGTAGAATGTGTTGGAATGAGAGTCATGATCATCATCATCATCATAGCTTTTCCCAATTATATGGGTTCGACTACACAAATCCTGGTCCACCAATCTGTTCTATTAAGTGCCATACCCTCAGTGAGGCCATGAGTCCCCATATCTTTTCAGGCTACTTCAACCATGTCCTTTTGGGCCTACCTCTTACCATTTTCAGTCTTTCTACTTGAACTAACTCGCACCTTCTAACAAGTATTATATTGGGTCAGCGCCACACATGGCCAGCCCACCGAAGTTTACTCTCTCTCATATTATCACAGATTGGTGCGACACTTAAATTTTCCCAAATGGATTCATTTTGAATTCTATCCCTTCTTGTCTTGTCACTCATCCATCTCGACATCCTCATCTCCGCTACACTCATTTTATCTCATCATGGTAATGGTAACTCCGTTGACTTGTATCTCTCACTCTCTCTCTCTTTCTTAAGTATGAGCGGTGGGGAATGTATGTCAGATTTGTTTCGAAACTACCTTTGTTCTTTCACTGATATTTTTTTTGTTTTAAACAATTGAATGATGAACATTTGTAGCCTTTATGGTTTTTTAGGGAGAACATTTATAATTCAACAAAGTGGAGCATTGGGTAAATAATTTAAATGTAATGGAAAGATAAACTGATTTTAAATTCGAGATTTTGGTTCCCATCCATCATTATATTGATATATATCTAAACCACATGCAAATATCTCTAGAGCTAGGCCTCTTTAAAATTAATTGAAAAATGACCTAATCTTTAAGTGCATATGGATTTGTTAATTTGATGAGTTGTCTTAACTTTAATACGAGGATCTCAAATTTTGTTTGAGATTATATGAACAATCTCAAATTGAGGCACTCGTCAAATGAATAAATTTATATCCTACTATTAAAAGAAAAAAAAAGGTTCTTTTTCAATTGATTGAATTGATTTGATCTAGAAATGGAGATTGTCCTTTCAATGGTTATTTTAGTTTAGAATGGGGGGATTGAGTATGTCTTAAGCTGTTTGCCAGCTATTATTTTGGTACCAATTTAATTTTCAATAGGAACCATATATTCGAATTTCAAACCAGCTTATCTTTCTTCTTGTGCTTGTATTCGTCACTTGTACTCCCATTTGTAGCAAAATCAGACACCATAGTTTCAAAAAGCGCTAGGCAGGTCCTAGGCAGCCTGGGGGGTCCAGGCCGCCCGGCGCCTAAGTGAATGCCCAGAACCTGGGCGGCTCAGTTGAATCTAAAAAGGATTCTACAGCTATATATTGTATAAAATATAAGAATTAGGTATTTAGGGCGCATAAAAATTCAAAGTGTACTACACATTAGCACACACTCCATAAGCATAACCATAAGTCGGTCCATATCCGACTAAAACTTAAAATTTACCAACCAAATTACCAAACCAAAGTTATTAAATACCAAACCAGTGGAACCACAAATCGACTATCCACAAGACCACAATACACAACCAAGAGGAAGAAAACAATAATGAAAGTAATACTTGAAGACTCAAAAGAATCTTCAGTAGTTCAATGACTAAATCAATGTTCAACAAAGTTTAATCATTATTCAACATTCATCATTCATCATCAGAAAAAGTAGGGTCAACTGCATTTGCATCATATTCATCGCCATCGGAGTCGTCACCCTCCTCGACATATTGTTCGTCGTCCTCCTTCTCTTCTGAATCTGCCTCTTCTTTCTCCACCCTCGTCCTCTGTGCAGAAGATTTAGTGGCCCTACGAGGGTCAGCTGATGTCCCTAAGCATCCATGACCATGTCCCATGTCAATTCTTCATGCCCCTCGACTTCTTCATCATCAACTAACTACTCCATAGCATTGTCCATATTTTTTGGTCTGATGGGATCTCTCTTATCCTCTTAGCAAACCTGTCCTTCAAGAACCAATTGTACTTGACATAGATTACGTCATTGAGCCTCTTTGATTTGAGCTTGTTCCTTCTCTTTGTATGAATTTAACAAAATCAAATTGAACCAAATAAAATCTATGGCTCATGTATTATTAATACAATTATACAAATTTCCCTTACGGCCTTACCCCATCAAAAGTACTCCAATTGCGCTTACAATCGGATGAGGAAGTGGTTAGGTTTAAAATCCGAATGGCCAACTTTTGTAAATTGGGAGAACTACACCCATGTTGGCTCCACCAATGGGTTGCAAAGATATAGAAATAGAATAAAATCATAAATAAATAATAGAATTATAAAAATGAAACTTGATTACTTGAACTTGATGAACTTAATAATATTATTAGTTTATTACTACTTGGATCAATTTTGGTCCGTTGCCTTAGCGCCATTGGACTCCCAAAAGACTTTAATGAGCACTTGTAATTTATCAGCTCATCAGCGCATATAATATCCCGGATATCAGGATCAGGGACTAGTACATCTACACACTTATTAAATCTAGTCATAATTGTGTCATTTGTGTGTATATCCCTTCAACATAAAGAAAAGCTGGGTTCAAATAATCACAAGCTGCATGCAATGGCTGATGTAGCTGTCTATCCCGCTTCTCATCAATAATCTCTCAAACAGGCTTGTAGCAGTTCTCATCATCATCAAATTTTTGGGCTATCTGACTTTTGCATTTCTCCATAGCCTCATATATGTAGCCCATAGAAGCCTTGTCACTATCATCCATGCGAATGACTTTACTAAGAGGAAAAAATACCTTAAGAGGACCCTTCACCCCTCGCCAAAAGGCCTTAGAAAGGATAATATCTCTCACCTTCTTCCCAATCTGATCCTTGGACCACTTGTATGCTCTCCAGTCATCCGAGGTAAATATCTGCCTCAACTACGCTCTCCTCGAATGTATGCTATCTAGGCATAAGTACCAAGTCTCAAATCTCATGACCCCAGGTCTCACAATCTCTTTCTTCTTTGTAAATCTACGCATCATGCTGAGGTGAGATGGTGGCTATAAATGAAATTTGTAACTGACTTTGCCTTCTTCGCTGCACCTGATATCTCGGTTAAACCGCCAAGAGCCTCAAGCATGAGGTCTATACAATGTGCTGCACGTGGTGTCCAAAAGATTCTAGGATAAGCTATGCCCAACAAATTAGCTGCAACAACTTTAGGAGCAGCGTTGTCTGTGACAACCTGTAC